AAAAGAGATGAACTATTAAAAATTTTAATTTGCCGCGTTTCAGGCTTCAAATTGTCGGTCGAAAACGTTGACCTGAGCCACCTATGAAAACAAAAATGAATTCAACCACTCGCACCCCATCATTCGGGATAACTGAGTGTCCTCTTTCGAAAACTCAAATTCCAATTTTTTCCATCCCACAAAAAAAATCTCGCTTTCTCGAAAAATTTCCCTTTATGCACAAAGGTTCCTTTTTTTGTAAACGGTTGCATTATTTATCAATTGCAGTTTTTTTCATCAAATGAAAGTTTTTAAAAAAAGCTACGTACGTTATAAGAACAGCAAAATCGAAAATTGAAAAGCAAATTCCCTTGTAAGTTTAACATTGACCAGGATTAGTCTAATTGAATTACACGTTGCTTACTTTCTGATCATATTTCATTGTTCTCAAGAAAACGGAACAACATTCTTCTTTGAAAATTTGGAAGCAAATTTTTGGAATTCTTCTCGAGCCAAGATCTATTTACAGGAGTTTTTGCAGCGTACACGGAGAAAAAAACCTCGTGCGTGGGACCCGAAGTTTAGGTCATATAGATCTCTGAGGTTTTCGGATTGAGCATCTGAACACCTTAGGTCTAGCTGTCGAGGTTTGGATCACACATCTGAAACTTCAGTTCGTACATCTGAAGTACTTCAGATGTGAGAACCGAAGTTTTTCGGATGTGAAAATCGAAGTACTTCAGATGTAAGAACTGAAGTTTCAGATGTGTGATCCAAACCTCAGCAGCTGGACCTAAAGTGTTCAGATGCTCAATCCGAAAACTTCGGAGATAGATGAGCGATGAGAGAGATGACCTAAACTTCGGGTCCTACGCGTGAAGTTTTTTCTCCGTGTAATAATCCTAAATCTTTTTGTGAAGAAAAACAAACAAAATTAAAGAAATCGGCCAATATGAAATGCAGATAAGTTCATTCTAGTTTAACGCATCCAATTATTTTAAACTTTCGTTCGTTCGATCATGGAAAAATCGTCGGTTCTAGGGAATTTTTGTAGGTTCCGCCTGGCAAAGGCCCCAGTTTCACGGCAGATCTGTTAACGCGGCTAACACGATCAAGCTTACATTATTTACTTGTTTACGCGAACCTGCGAGCGCCGGGGCGGGGAACGCGTTCCACTCAAATTTCCGAACCTGTTTATCAATTTAAATTCGTTCCGCACCGCTTTGTTCCCGACCAGAAATGATAACTCCCGGGTCCGCCCCTCCGATGTGACCCGCGTCCGCCCCCGGTGCGTTGTCGCGGCGCGGGAAAACCGCCCCCCGGGACCCGGGCTTTTCAGCCGGAACCCCCGCAATTTGGAGGCAGCGCTTTCCTATTTTCAACTTGATTAGCATCCGCGGTGCCACGAATTCGATCCCGCCGAATGTTGTTAATGTCTGTCTGTTTTTAATGCACTTTTCTCCCCATTGTTTTCGCAGCGCTGGCCGACCGCAGCATGCATATGATAATAGGATCCCGGGTGGGGTCGTTTGTGGAGGGGTTTGTTCGAGAGTTATGTAACGCGCCAAAGGAGGCAGGAAGCTCAAGTCTGCGTTACTGTACGTTACAATCGGAGAAGCCGCGTCGAACCCACCGTTACGTAACGTTTTCGAATTGTGAAAAATCGAAGGTTTTTTTTTACCCAGAGAATCCGGAAATTTCATTCATCTTCAAGTTAGCTATCTTTCACATGAAAAGAGACGCGTCCAAAACTAGTATTAATTGTGGTTCCAGCGACTTTTTTTGTCCCCATTTTATATGTATCACGAAAAATCTTTCAAAATGCCCATAATTTTTTGGGGGCTAAAAAATCGGGGGACTAGTATAACGCAATTGTTGATCAGTTCCTATTGATAATGTAAAGGCTGGAGTGATGGTATTCATGGCCAAAGCCATCCTTAATCTATTTCAGTATGAGGTAGGATCGTGGTATGTGATCAAAGATAAAAGAAGAATGAAGAAAATTTTAACTGAAGTATTGATTAAAATGGAACCTAAAACCACAATGGCCTCGTGATCCCCTGTTTAATGAACGGCTGAGAACCATAGCGATTGTCTTACCAGGAAATTTGAGCGGTCTGATTCTGATTTTATGTAACTTTTTTTGTAAAGACAGGGGCAAGAGTGCCTGATAGAGAAAACCGGTGCCGCTGGTGTTTTACTTTTCGAGAAACTAGATGGAGCCATCGGCTAAAAGATTAACAATAAGTTCCCATATCTTGATCCGACTCAAAGAAAATCGCCCTCAAATCCCTCGTTAATTCGTCATCTTCCGGCCAAAGTATCACGAACACCATACGACGTTTAACAATTTCCGCCGCAATTTTATTTTTTTACAGAGGAATCGTTCAACGAAGCTGTCCGAAAATCTCATTAAATTTTCTTCGTACTGCCGATGAAATTCATTGAAATTTCCATACAGATTCAACCAACAATTTCTCTGTAAAAAAATAAAATGGCGGCGGAAATTTTGAAACGTCGCAAGGCGCTTGTGATATTTTTGGCCGGCAGGCAACAAATCACGGTCCACTTTCTCGTGGACGGTTACAAATTCACCTTCAAGCCACAACTACTTGTAAAGGTTGCTTACCCGGAGAAACTATGACGACCATGACGTCACGAGCTGAGATCGCCCTCAAGACGCAGCGACGCGGCGTTATTAAGGGATTTCTTGCTCCACAAACTAAATATGAGCCGTTGACGCCCTGCGGTCGAACAGCCGTTGCCATTCACGGCGGATGCATCCGGTTTCCCGACTCCGAGGTGAGAACTCGGGGATCTGTGATCGGCGGCAACGTCGCGTGAGACCTTGGAGGAAACAGGGACCAGAGCAACTTGTAAACAAACTTCGCTAATTGCGACAACTGCTCGGAGCCAAGCGTCCAAATGAGCAAAACCACCTTACGTTGATAAGCGAGACGTCTACGGGAGGGAAGAAACAACCAGAGTTGCCGATATGTCATGTAGGGCCGTAATCGATCCGTCCTAATTGCTCGAGGTGATACGAAATATCATGTTTGCAGTACTGCCGTGGTGAGGAAAAACGCAGTATGGGCCTTCAGGCGTTGCCAGATTTCCGTTGGAAAATTACAGATTTTCGGAAAAATTTGTAAATATTTTTCTTCCAATTTTACAGGTAATTTGGTTCGCAATTTAACCTAAAGTTACCTTGAAAATTTCTCGGTAAAATATTCATAACTTTCCTCAAAAATAAGCATTTAATCAAAGGGAATTTGGCAACTCTCGAATGTTCATACGCCGTTCTTCATTAGCGAGGTAGAATAGTAGTCATCGATCCGAAGAAATGTTGAAACCTAGCTTTTGCAACTCGCAAGATGATTTTGTTAATGACTACATTGCGCCTTCATTTCGTGGGGTACGCCGTAAAGCATCTCGCGTGTGGTAATAGTTATCTACCTCTGGGAACGTGGGAACTGAGCCATCGAAATTGTAAGAATGGGATGACTTATCCTTCTAAGACCCAGAGATACCATGATTTTTATAGGGCTTCACTGGAAAACAAAAAAAAAACACAAAAAAAAAACACATTGGATCTAGAGTCCAGACTCTTGAAAACATTGACAAGAAAAAGGACTCTTCATTCAATCAGATTTAAGCTTATATCAAGAACCGCCGAGCCTCTTAATTTGAGCGGATTTCCTTTTGATTTAAGCTTAAATCTGATTGAATCAAGAGTACTTTTTCTTGTCGATGTTTTTAAGAGTCTGGATTCTAGATCCAATGTGGTTTTTTTCCAGTGTTCAGTCCTGAGCCAATTTTAAATTTTTGCATTTTCACTTTCCACGCCGTCGAAAATTGCAACAAAATTGATCTGCCTTTTGCAGCGTAAAACTAGAACATTAGATAGCATCTATAAGTTATTCAATGGCGTCATTGCAGCGTTCTAGCGATTCAAATAAGAACTTGAAAAAGAATATTGAATTGTTGGTTTGAAAGTATTTTAATGATCGATCCAAAGATCGATACTTCGAATTTATCAAAATTTGAAGTACGTCGATCTAAAAATTCACAGCGCAAAAGCTGAAGTGCACTACGCTCGTTAAGATACAGCGGCGAGGCAACGCGGGTTGCATATCCAGGAACAATGCAGGTGCTTGTTACGGGCTCGGCGTAACGCGGCGCTGAACATGAACGGTGCAGGCAGGACCAACAGCCGGAGCCTGCATGTGTTATCATTAGCCCCGCCGCGTTACGCCGGTCAAGCGGCAGCGTAATACAGTTTCAATGGGGTGATGATTAGGGGCTTGAACAAACGTCCGCGTAATACGTAATGACAGAACACCGCGCAAACCTCAACTCGGTAATTAGCCCGCATCGTCGACGTTGCGAAATTGAACAGTATTTTGCAATAAAGACCTATCATTTCCAGCTCGTCCATAAAAACACCTATCTGCCCGGGGAACCAAGTGGCACACATGATGTTTCTTGAATGTGCAAAAAATATTAGTTCCGTGTCGCAAAGTGTAGTCAAATTATCACGCATTGAATACCGATTCCCGCGAGGGATGGCCGATGTCTTTCCAGTTCGGTTTTGCTTTGATTTTTTAAGTCGTCACCTTCCGGCCTGCGTATCACAAGCGCCATGCGACGTTTCAAAATTTCCGCCGTCTTCTTATTTTTTTCAGAGAAATTGTTCAACAAAGCTGTCCAAAAAGTTCACTAAATTTTCTTCGTGCTGCCGATAAAATTCAGTGAGATTTTCGAACAGATTTAAGCAACAATTTCTTTGTATAAAAAAGAAAATGGCGATGGAAATTTTGAATCGTCGCATGGAGCTCGTGATATTTTAGCCGGAAGGTGACAGAGTGACATCTCTCTCATAATATGAGTACCTTATGTGGTGGTGCACTGGAAAAAATTGAATTCAAGATCAACCCTTAAATTTTAAGCAATACCTGAACAATAAATTACAAAATTTTACGAATTTATCAGTAATTTCTATGATCTTTTCTTTGTTGCAGAGGACTTTTGTATCAAAGCAGACATCAGTTTGACGATGCCATCCGGAGCTACGAATTAGCCATCCAGTTTAGGAGCTCACTAGCATGTAAGTTCTACTCGCAAATCATGGAAATCGTCTGGAAATTCTATCATGAGATTATAAATTAGCTCTCTATTGTTAAATATCATCACTGATGCCTTTCCTCAAATGCACGCCAAGAGACTTGTCACCTGTTTGTTTAGTTTTTTTTAGTTTGGACCTTTAAGAGGTAAACTAGGGGCCTGTGGCTGCTACGCGGCCGCCAACCACTAAAAAAAACTAAACGTAAAAAATCGTAGAACAAACATGAACAAGTTTTCTTTAAAAGATGAATGGATTCAAAATCCGACGGGTGCACCCGAAAGAAAGCGTATATTTATCTCTGATTGCAACGTTATGCACCACTCTCAAGTTTTATTTTTAATGAATGTTTTTGAAAAGCTACACACAGTTTTTCTAAAAAGTTTCCGCGGTTTTACCTAAATGATCTCAAATTAAAGGATTGAAAATTTCAACGTGATATATTCGTTCGTTCTATTTTCTTCTAATGTTACCAAAATAAAATTAAAAAACATCCGAAATTTTGAATCGTTCCAATGCGGATACATATTTTCCCTTTCATTATAGTAAAAACTGGAACAGAGAGTCAAGAATGATGACACGCAGTCCTACAGCATTCCTACAGTGTAACAGTCTTGTAGGCACCAACATGCGTTTCATGCCAACTGGCCGACTGCACTGTGTTTGGCGCTATGCGAGAAGTATTCATGCAGTCTTGTAGGCGCTAATACGGGCTTTACGCCGACCGCTCTGTTTGGCGCAATGCGTGAAGTATTCCTGAAGTCTTGCAGGGGCTAATATATGTTTAACGCCGTGCCGGCCACACAACGAGTGTGTTTGGCGCGATTGTTCGAACTCGCGTTAGAATAATATTTCCTCGGTGCACTGGATATTGGCGAGGAGACTGACTAACGCGTGACCTCGTAGACCAGTTTCAAAAAAGTATTTTGACGGTTTTTTAATGTGGGAAAAAGAATATTCGCAACTTATCAATTAAACCTTTCATCGTAGCGATACATATTTTCCTTGCGCCGGCAAAGTACGAACTAACTAACTTAAATCCAGCCCACAAATTTCAATATGAGCACTCCGTCAAAACATGTATGCCGGACGTTGTTTCCTGCGCAGGAATGAAAAAAATCCGCTTTGTACAGTTTGAAATCATTAGTTTTTTCCAGAATCGGGGCGGGAGAAGGAGCCGATTTTAATAAAATTCCCGTGGCTCGGTTCCGGAATAACTCCGCGATTCCAAAAGCTTTCTTTGCCAGACCCGAGAGCCGATTCATATGGCGATAAACGCTTGCTCGGAATATTTATTTTTCAACTCGCGGTAAAATGGTTATTTAAAAACGCCGCGAAATGAATTCCGCTCGGCAAACGGTTTATTTCACCTCATCAACTCGATGCTCGCCCTGGTGTAAAACAAATATAAATTTTGAGCGGCAAGGTAACGCCGAGGGTTGCCAACAAACTCGCTAAAACACTAGTATCAGCCAGGAAAAAGAAAAATGACCGGTCTGAAAACTCAATCCCAGGGATTTTTTCTCACTTGCTGTTTCAGAATTTTCCGTACAAGTGATTCCTGCTGACCTCCACCTCTTAAAGTTACCAATATTTCATTTCGTGCAGATTTCAGAAGAAAGCAGAATCGCATCCAATTTTATAGCGTAATGCTGATTGGTTAATTTTTCAGAGAAAACATGACTTTTGATGACTTTTGAGTACGAGTTTTTTGACGATGCGCCTTTTCTGGACCTTAGCCAGTATGGGGCCATTAAAATATATCATAAGGCATGTTGGTCAATCTTTGCAACCCCTACTATCTTGCCTTCTAAAGCATCTCTGACGGACAAACCCTAAATTCCTTTTTTGGAACTAAGCAAGACTACCCTGACCCCCTTTCTTAATTTTTCAGGGAAAGCGAAGGAGGACTGAAATTTTTTTGAAACAATTGTTTTTACTAGATTTTTTTTAAGTAGGAGGCTTCATTAAAGCTGGGCTTACACCCCTACCCCCGGAAGGCTAGTTCAGAACTCTTTCCCATTAAGTAGCTTACGTACTACATGAAGGGCCTTTCAGTAGAAAAAAAAGACTTTCCGTAGAAAATTTACTTTTTTATGCTGGTAGTAAGTCGTTTAGTTTTTCGCCAAAAGAAATGGAACATGAGAGGAAATTAGGCGACATGGTATGCAGTGCGGCTATTTCAGGTGAAAATATATTCCTCTGCTTATTTTCCTTCATGGGCGCGGTGCTTGTAGCGCGGGAGATATCCGCTCGAAAAAATATGACAACTCAGACAACCCTCAGGCCGACCCTTGGGGTGGTTTAGCCCGGGCCGCGACCCTTCCTTAAAATAACTTCATCGAGGAGCGGACGGAGAAAAAAGCGGGAAGAAAATAAGAAAAGTTTTATCAGGTGACAAATCAAGGCTAAATGAGAACATTCCCGTAGACGACCTCTTGTTTCGACTCCGAGGTAGACTGCCGTGCTAAGGAAAAACGCCGTATGAGCCTTCAGGCGTTGCCAAATTTCCTCTAGCAAAACACTAATTTTCAGGAAAATTTTTGAATATTTTTCTGCCGATTTCTCAGATAATTTTGTTTGTAATTTTATCTAAAGTGTCTAAAAATTTCAAGGAAAAATATTCACAATTTGTCTCAAAAGTAAACATTTTATCGAGGGAAATTTGGCAACTCTCGAATTTTCATACGGTGTTCTTCCTTAGCACGGCAGTAAGAGCCAGCGAAGACGAATTTAAAAGCAAGCATCAGTTCTTTTCAAAAAGGGAACAAATCCATTTCGAGACGAGCCCGTGTTTGCATGAACTTCGTGTCCTTCACGGTTCATAAAAAATGGACTCGTTCGCTTTTTAAGACGGCGGATTCGGAATAGGCGAAGATGAAGCGCAACTCTGGATGACGCTAATATATATTTTCATTTCCATCCGAGGGACATTTGTTTCAATTAAAATGGCGTTTCCGGGCGCGGGCCACGAGGCTCTCCTCCCGTGCAAAATCAATTTCCGCCAAGGGCCCACCGGGCTCCAAAATATCCTCACTAAATAATTAATTAACTCGATTAGTGCAGTTTTGTCGGGATGTTCTTCATCTAATCGCCCGCCGACCCGCGCGAGCAATTATTCTAATTGTTACCGGGGTCCCCCGTGCCGACATTACTTCGTCTTAACGCTGCAGATGACCTTCCTTTCTATCTCGGGTCGGTCGAGAATTTGAGGATTTTTTGAAAAAATTAGGGTTTTTTCGGATTCTGAATTTTTTTAGGATTTTAAAAACTTTAAAGAGATTTTGGAAATGTTTTTTTTTTTAAACTTTAAAGAATTGATAAGGGTTGAAAGATTGTTTACAATTTTCGAGGCATTATCAGGTTTTTGGAAGTCTTTAGAGTCTTGAATTTTCGGAGGTTTTTTTTAAGGCTCGAAAAAATATTCAAATTAACCTATAGAAAGATATTCTAAGAATTAAAGGATTTTTTAATTCAGAAATTCTTTCGAATTCTTCTAACTTTCCAACTTTAATTTTTAATTAATACTTATTTTTTAACATTAATTTAGAGGCTTTCAAATATTCCAGGATTTTTAGGTTTCATTTCAGATTTAATGGTTTTTTTAAAAAAGAGAGTGGAGGCGTTGAATAATTCTTTCGGATTTGACATAAAGAAGTTTTCAAACTTTTCGTCGAGTGTTAGATTGTCCTAGGACTTGCTGATGTTCGAAGAAACCAGAAATTGTTTCAAACTTCTGTGAAAAGTTGAACTTTTGGATATTGCAATATTTTGAAAACATCTTTGAGATTTTTTGGGGGAGTCTAGAAACTCGAATTTTTTAAGCATTTTTCATATAATTGTCCTTCAACCCGTTTTTGCGATTGCTTAAAGCAACTTTGTCTAACGCTCGTGGCTCTTTCGAAGGTTGGGGCGAAGAAACGCCTGCATTTGTCCGAATAGGCAATTTCCGGAAGTGGTGCACGAATAGTTGCCTACTCTGCCCCTATTCCTCTCGTTGACTTCACATTTGATCGATTGCCGATCAAGAACTGACGGTGTCCGTCCGGTGTCCTTACAGTTATGTTGCCGAAAAATTGGAAAATATTGATGTGCATAAATTGCAAGGAATATAAGAAAATATGAGAATTCATGGAAAAAATCAGGATTACCTATTTCCTGTTCATCTTGCACTACTTTTTGAGTTTTCGCCCCTGACTGCAAGATATTAGCGAATGAAATTTTTTTTTGTTTTTCTAATTTTTCTCAGAAATTTGAAACTTTGAAGCGGTGAAGCCACATTTCATTTGACCCCTCCTGCTTCCCCTTCGCAACAAGGAGGAAGGATAGCTGAAATCCTCCTCCACCTAAGTGCGTTACGTACACGGAAAATAATTAAGTGTTAATTTAGGATTTAAATTGTTAAAAAAAGGCCCGTCAAGTTTCCAATGCTAATTTTACAATACATAAATGCTAACACGACATTGACATTTGTTCGTTTTACAGTGGGCGTAGTTAAGTCAGCATTTCTTAAAATGTAGAATCAGCGTTTGAAACGTGTCGAACATGTTTTTAACAATATAAATACTAAATCAACAATTAATTTTTTTCCGTGTGACACTTGAACGGCCCCTTGGGGTCAAAAATAAATCCTGAAATGTTCATAATTATGATGAGCCCCGATGCCTCGACGAAGCGCGGAACACACCTGCGATCCTTGCTCGACCGATCAACAGCGAAGATGCGCTCCATTTCCATTTTGCATCGATAGGAATTTCGCATCCCTGCGTTTGAGTGCTGAAAATAGTACTACAGCGCCACCTCGCGTCACTTCCTCGCACCCCGCGAGCAGCTGCTTAAGTGCCCGCGTCGCCGCCGCTCATCCTGGAAAGTGCTAATTATCTTTTAATTACAACTTTGACTATCTTCAATGATTCCCGCCCGCCCGCCTCCCACGCCGCCCATTATTGCTAAACACCGCTTTACTCTCGGTAATTGATTCATCT